GACACAGGTAATCACGTCGGGGTCACCAAATGCGAAGTAACTATCCTCTGCTACCAAATGTGATGTTCCCGTGGTTCGTCCATGAGGCCAATGTTGGGAAAAGACAGGACACGATCTTTCTCGGGATGGAGCGATCCAGATTGGGGGTCTGAGAGCCCCTTTTATTGAGATAGGACAAAGGCAGGAGGAGCAATAGCATGTGAGTAAAAACAGCCTGTAAAAGTACAATTTCTAATCTACTGCTCAGGGAAGTTCTGTCTATATATGGTCAAATCCTGGAGTTGTTGGGTAAGGCACATTTAGAGTGAACCTCAGGATGTTATGTTATGAACTATCAGGATGTTATGTTATGTAGGAGTTTGTTTTCTCCTGTGTGGTTCAGCGTGGCTCTGCATGCCCTGTTATCCACTGGGCCATGAGTGACCGATACACCTACACAAGGAATTATATTACAACAATTTTAATCTTATTTGTCCAAAACAGAGAAGTGGTTGACCTCGTGGGTTACGTGATGCCCGTCTACATAGCCTTCCACCTGTTTGAAGCTCTATGCGTGAGTCCTTTTCTTTCTCACTTCTTTCCACTGGGCTGGAGAGGGTTAAATAAATTTAAAAGCTGGAGTTAAGCCCTGGCACCCTCAAATGTTTTAGGGTTACGGTCAACTGTGGATGGTTTAGTTAAACCACCGATGACCAAACCATGCCTTAATGGGGCATGTGAAGGTAGCATGCGTTGAGGTGGAATGGGTGGACCTCAACTCCAAGAATTCTCCAGCCAGCATACTTTGTGGTTGGGTGACTTCAATTCCCAGGATTCCCTAACCAGCCTGCCTTACATTAACTCCCAGAATTCCTCACTCAGTCTGCCTCATTCAAATCCCAGAAGCCTCAAGCCAGCACGCTTTAAGAGAGGTGGGCCTCAACTCCCAGAATTCCCCGTACAAAATGCTTTAAGAGGGGTGACTTCAACTCCCAGAATTCCCTAGTCAGCATGCTTTAAGATGGGTGGACTTCAACTCCCAGAATTCCCCATCCAAAATGCTTTAAGATGGGTGGACTTCTGCTCCCAGAATTCCCCAGGAAGCATGCCTTAAGATGGATGGACTTCAACTCCCAGAATTCCCCATACAAAATGCTTTAAGATGGGTGGACTTCTGCTCCCAGAATTCCCCAGGCAGCATGCTTTAAGAGGGGTGACTTCAAGTCCCAGAATTCCCTAGTCAGCATGCTTAAGATGGGTGGACTTCAACTCCCAGAATTCCCCAGCCAGTCTTCTTTAAGATGGGTGGACTTCAATTCCCAGAATTCCCCAGCCAGCATGCTTTAAGATGGGTGGATTTCCACTCCCGGATTTCCCCAGCCAGCACGCTTTAACATGGGTGGACTTCAATTCCCAGAATTCCCCAGCCAGCATGCTTTAAGATGGATGGACTTCCACTCCCAGAATCCCCCAGCCAGCATGCTTTAAGATGGGTTGACTTCAACTCCCAGAATTCCCCAGGCAGCATGTCTTAAGCGGGCTGTACTCAGTGCTGGGATTAAAAAATGTTTACTACCGGTTTTGTGGGCGTGGCATGGCTTGGTGGGCGTGGCTTGGTGGGTGTGGCCGGGGAAGGATACTGCAAAACCCCCATCCCCTCCCAATCAGGAGGCCGGGAATAGATAGGGGCGAGGCCAGTCAGAAGTGGTATTTACTGGATCCCCGAACTACTCAAAATTTCCGCTACCATTCTCTAGAACTGGTCATAACCTGCTGAATTTCACCCCTGGTTGGACTTCCACTCCCAGAATTCCCCAGTCAGAATGCTTTAAGAGGGATGAACTTCCTCTCCCGGAATCCCCCAGCCAGCAGGCTTTAAGATGGGTGGACTTCCACTCCCAGAATTCCCCAGCCATCATGCTTTAAGAGAGGTGGACTTCCACTCCCAGAATTCCTCAGTCAGCACAGTGGGAACCCTGGGAGTTGAAGTCCACACCCCTTCAATTTGCAGGTGTTAACAAGCTCTCTTGTACCCATCCTTCTTTTCGTCCCTTGCAGGCGACGACCAGCGGGGTGCTGCGTGGCACCGGAAGGCAGAAACTAGGCGCCATTTTCAACACGTTGGGCTACTACACCGTCGGCTTGCCCTTGGGGGCCGTGCTCCTTTTCGTAGCCAAAATTGGCATGATAGGTACTGGCATTGAGCAGAGAGTGGCATGGCGCCTCTTGTCCAACTAGTCCTTGAGTTACGATGATAATTGAACCCCACAATTAGAGTTGTGAGTTGTGGGGATCATAAAACGGGTCTGATTTGATTTTACAATCTTTTCTTCCCACAATGGTTGCTAAGCAAACTGTTTGTTTGAATGTTTGTTTATTTTATTTGTATGCTGCCCTTTTCCCCCGAAGGGGACTCAGGGTGGCTCACAACTCAACCAAGGGAGGGGGATACAAACAAAAATTAAAACGACACGCAACAATACATAATTTAAAAACACACAACGGTCATACCATTCGAGATGGGGGCAAAAGATTGTAGCCCCAGGCCTGTC